GCAGATCTTCAGTTATAGATGTATTATTGAGCAAAGGCGCAGCTTCGTGTAGTATTCCGTGGATACTAAAATAATAACGTATCTTTTAACGGCACTTTCTCATATTAATTGTGTGTGTTATATAAGGGTAATATATTATTATAAATATTATTATAAAGCAGAAAAGAGAGCAAAAAAGTATGAAATTGAGAATCATCACAGTGTGTAAGTCTTGACAGAACGACAACTCACTCCTAAGAAATGAGTTTGTTTTATTTCGTTATACGATAAAATAGCACTGTTTACTCTTACAATTGAAGAAAAAACTGGTGTCGACAGTAAATGAAAATAAATACATATTTTCTTTCTGGTAGTGTTTAATATACTATTACCGATAATTTCAAGGTCACGTGATCGCAAACAGAGCGTGACGTCACACACCCTTCTTACTCATATTAGAACTTAGAGAATTCAACCTTAAGAAACATACCCTGAACGATATTCGTTTCAGAGTGCCATGACGTGCATGCATGACAGAAGTGGCGTTATCTCGGGAAATTTTGAAAATTAAATTTATTTTTAGATTTCAAATTATTATATCAATGATATTATTTTAGACATATTTCATGTATATCTGTGAAAAAAATATATAAAAAGTTGCCTACTCATAGGGGTATTGGGATGATACATTAAAGTTGTAAAATTTAACAACATATTTTTTATTTACATATTTAAAATATTATGTAATACAATACCTATTGAGAATATGGTTGAGCGTTTCATCAGACATCAGCTCCATTAGCAAGTCGACAGCGGGAGCTACGCGTCCCTCCGCGACCCCCGCTAGGTCCAGTCTCGTGATCACCCCCACCAGATTAGCGATATGTTTCAACACGTTCTCCACGTGATATAGAACGTTTGATATGAACTCGAACTTCCAGAACTCGGTTGATTGTAATTTGGGGAGCTGTTAAAGTAATACATGCCATATGTTCAACTTATTTGTATACCAGTCCAGAGAGAATTGATAAATTTGACAGGCATATGGATGATTGACAGACTTACAGGTGGTGCAACGTTTTTAATTATCTAACTGTACACACACTCAGTATAAAGTTGATGTAAATTAATTTAAATCCGGCTCGAAGGATCATGAACCAGGATTATTTTAAGCGTGATAATAACAAAATATGGATAACGTCCACTTACCTCTTTTGCGACCGTCGTTTTATTTATGTTTTTATTAATAGTATCAACAATTTGTCTACAACTGTACTTGTTACATTCCACAGACCAATCGTGTTTTTTTAACTTTATATAGTAAGCAATATTTTTATATACCTCTGGTTTATCGACCTAAAACAATAATTTGACAAACATTTTTGGTGTTTTTAATCATTATCATATCGAACAAAACGGACTAAAACGAATAAAACGGACAATCGATTAAACTAAATTTGCATAAGCATTTAAAGAAGTAATAAAGTTCGTTTAGAAAATAAATTTCAAACATTTGACTGTATGTTTTTTTTGTAAACTAAAACAGACTTCGTAAAATAAAAAAATGTAGGACTTTACAACCAGAAAGGAAGATAACAAATTCAGTCAAATCAGTTTCATTTCACTCACCAAACGTAAATTCAAATCGGCAGTTTGTAAATCTTTTATCAAGTCACTGTCTCCAACGATATCTGCCAATTCATTTGACAGTTGCACCTGTTTTTTCAGATACATATTAACGGGCCCGTATACGTCTAAGTTGGGTGCCACTTGGGACTGGAGTTCTTTCAAGAAGAGCACTTCAGCCATCCCCTCCACTTCATGTAGATAAGGCAGCTCTGTTCGGAATAGGGTAATAGTATCTGCTACTACTCTGATGAATCTAGGAATGAATAAAAATAATATTCTAACACACATATTGCTCCATTCATTAACTAAGTAGTGTGAAAATCTCGAGATCATATAGAATTGTTAGTTCAGTAGGATCTTTCATCATAGAATATTTAAAAGGTAAGCACTCTATTAAAGGAGAGTTGACGACTCACGTGGCGGCTTGCGATGTGGTCACCTCACTGGCGTTGGAGCCGATGCATTCTCCCATTCTGCGGCCACCCATCCCGTTCCCTACCACTACTTCCTCCAGTACTTGGAGCTTCACCAACTCCAATAGTTTGTTCAAAGACTTGTTCAACTCGAATTTGGTGTAGTTTCGCGATGAGAGCAGCTAATGAAACCATCAGTTTTTTTTATTAAAAATGTAGTTCTAGTTTTTCTCCAATAAAATTATCTTGAAAATTAAAATTATTAACTTATTGTATTATTTGATAAAATAATGTTATACACAGAAAACTGCTGTGCCAAAGAGTTTCATTTATATTCAATTCCAAGACACGTCTCTTTGGCGTAGATTATACATTGAAATCCATTCCGGAGCACGTAGGAGTTATTAGCAATTTTGCAGCCACAGACTATTATAGAAGCTTTACTATATCGCTTCATAGTAAGCAGAAATTAACGTAATGTAACCTAAATTAAATCCAGCTCGAAGGACCAAGAATGATTTTACATTTTAAACTACTTCAAACATAAATCGATGTTCAATAAAAGATAAAGAAACACATTATTGCTTTTGATCTTATACAGAGAAAATTAACATATAGAGATGCAGTTGACAGAATAACGCTATCTATGGTTATAAATAAGAACTAAACTTTAAAAGAAAATATTGTAGTTAAATTAGTGTATTGGATAGATATAGGATATTGGTACCTCCTTTAAGGCCATGTCCCAATGAAAGTCCTCTTTGAGAGTTCTGTGTATCTGCGAGGGTGTGAGTGACGGTAGATGGCACAGTAACGAATGATACTCCTGCTTCTTGTACAGCTGAAGATTGATCTGCTTCACCCACGTCGTCAGTTGAGAGCATAAACTGCATTGACTGTACATACGAAACGTCAATGTTAAAATATTACATAGAAGATTAATGAAACCATCTTGATAGTTCACTATCAACTATTGAGGAAATCCAATGGCTGACGACGGGCATGAGGAACACTAGTAACGGCACTGACGACGTCGTCAGTTTTTATGTTTTTATGTTTCTCGGTTACAATTTATCTATTTGCTCAACACAGATCCCTTGCGGGACAGGATGGAAGAGCTGAACACAAGAAGAGTTGCGAAGAAAGAGAGGTGAGAACAGCTATGAAGATCAAGGTAGCAAATAACTATACCCGGTCTTTGGGTGCTCTGAGTATCCCGTTTGGAATCTGGCAGGAAGAAATAGAAGAATAGAATATAGAAATCTAACAATGGTTTACATATCATATATTGACCTGTTATTCAAAAACAGCGTGACGGCATCTACGACGTTCCCCAGAACTCCAAAGGCCGCTTTAGTAACCGCTTCGCCCTTGAGCAGTCCCAGGGCTGCCTTCCTGACCCCCTCCACCCCTTCCTCCGACACCCACGATGGTCTCCGAGGGGCTTTAGGGCCATCTCTTATACCCTCTATTCTGGATTCTACTTGCACAATATCCGAATCAACAGAAGCGTAGTCGACATCCTTGGAAATAGTCAGCTCAAGGTCGTAGCCCTAAAAGTAATAGTGTTAGATAAGTACCATATTTATTTTATGTCCTTTTTACAATGCTTTTTTTTGACATAGTAAATTCATTTAGTAACATAGTGGTATTCACGTAAATATACTTTCGTATAATTATTGTCACGTATAATGTGACCCTAATAACAAAATTATTTTGAAACCTTATATATAATTATTAAATACATAAATAAAGACATAAAATTAATCTACATATCAATAGTAAATAACTTAAATATACAAAAACAAAACGTAATAAAAAAACTAGCAAATTCAAAACGCACTCTAATAAAAAAAATAAGAACATGAAATCTAGTAGTAAAACCACTTGGTTGATTGTACAGAACTGATAAATTATTTAATAAGCTATACATTAAAGTTATAATTAAATATTTTTAGTTTAATACCTTACTACTATAAATTAACTACGTATTTAGTTAATCCTCGTAATCGGGTAAGTTGTACATATTTTGTAAATAAATTGTGTTCTTAGTAAGTTTACAAGACATAGTTAATGTTGTAAATAGATTTATGTTGCCGTATGCCTTGACTGCCTCATATGAATAACTATATAATCCTACGTAATTACACGTTCCCCTCAATTACAAATCTGATGGCGCAGTCAAGGTGATAACTGATCACCATGCTCACACCGGCTCTACTCGACTTTCTATGGAGCTAGTTCTGGACTTAAAGTAGAACGAAGAATTTCACTCTGCCTTCCCTCGTTCCCTATCCTGCTGCTGCTGTCCTGCTATCTGTGTTTTTTCCCTTCCACATCCTGCACCCACTTCTACCACCATCAAAGACGGTATCGTGCCACACTCTCTATATCATTAGTTGATGACTAATACAGAAAAAGAACCCTACCATAACGACCCTGAGTCTAAATTACGTACCTACCTAAAATTTGTATAATTCTATTTCCTTTTTTTATTGTATATAGTTAGTTTTATTGTAACTTCTTTTTTACATGTAAATATATAGTTTACTAAATTTTAGAAGTTTCATTGCTTATATAGATAACAACGTAGCATTATCTAAGTGTTTATTTTTAGTAAATTGCTTTACACTCAAGTTCTCAAATATAAAATAGCAATAAATGAAAAAATACCTCCATGTTTGCCGTCAATAAAAGTAAATTTGCCATATAAATAATGATAATCTTTTCAAATAGTAGAAGGTTCAACTAACCTGTGAAGCGAACATGAGGGGCGGTATCTCCCTGAGCGCCTGTTTATCATCAGAACAAGCGGCCTGCTTCAACCGGGACAGGACACCGGTACCGTCTGGGATATACTCAGATAAGGACACGTTAGGCTGGCAGAACGCCAACGTATTGTTGTAATCTATGTCACGGAGCAGACGGACTATCTGCAACAATTCAAATACTCGTTAAATAACACAGATTCAGAAGTAACAGGAGTAATTATAATATGGATACCAAATACAGAGCGTCGTTGCAGATAAAAAAACACACACACACAGAAATTTCAACACATCAATAATAATAGTAAAAGATCTGAGACGTTTTACTATTTTTTGTAAATAAAATAAAATCAAATTAATTCGATGAGGAAAAAGATAAAAATAAAAACATTTTGTATTATTGGATTTAGATGATGATTCACAGCCACCTGTTTACTTACTTGTATTTTATCAAGTTGCGTTAAGATATCGATCGCAATGTCCAGACTTCTCTCGACCCCATTAAAGAAGCTGTTAATCCTGGGTCCATTATAAATAGCCTTGAGTTCACTCCACCAGTCTCCACCGGACAGGAAGCTCAGTACCACGTTGTAGCTCTGAATATTGCTTTGCAAGTACTTCAGATATATCGGCAAACCCAGATCATACGCGTACTTCACCGAAGCCCGCAGTGTATTAACAAGTTTCTTTCTAAAAATATTTTATGTAATATATTTAGATGTTTTCTGTTGTCTAAATTTAATAATTAATTAAAGAACAGTCAACAGCGCGTCATACAAAACTGATGAATTTCTCTACTTTATTTTGAGCCTTAATATGCTCAGGGAGGAGTACAAAATCAACTGTCAAAATTTGATACACTAGCTCTCCGACACTGGCTTAGCTTGGTTTGGTTACATTTATACCCAAAGTTTAGAAGGATAAAATGTAGCCTATATGTTATTTGACGATTAGAATTATTCGTGTACCAAATTTCATCAATATCCGTTCAGTCGTTTTTTGTGTGAAAAAGTAATAAATATATGTATATACATCCATCCATCCTCACAAAGTATCACATTTTTAGTATTAGGATTGTGATAATCCGACGTGCAGCCGTGTGTACAATTGAACAAACATGATAAATAAACAAATATATTTTCGACTTACCTGCTTTTAAAGAAATCAAAGATATCTGAAGAATTATCGCTATCATCACGCAGTAAATTAACCATATTCAATAAACTATTTTTAGCATTTTCAAAGTCATCAGCTATGGTATTTTCCACTGCTCCATATATCAGTTTGTATTCCTTGCCACATATTTGGTTTTTAGTTCTTTGGTTTTCGTTTAGAATATCCTTACTAGTGTCATTATTCTTTAAATTATTACATGTTGCTTCTAAAGCATGAACTAAACTAAAACTGTCATTGTTAGTCGACAATACATCAGTTATTACATCAAAATGAAAAGCTATAGCTTCATGTGGCCTTCTTTTAAATATTCTACTCATAGTCGATATTTCATTAGTTATTTTTTTTAATTCATCGTCATTTATTTCAGTATTAATATCTCTAGGATTTAGACTTTCGATGGCTACAGCTAATTTGTTCACTAAAGCTGTTATTCTCGTTAGATATGTAGTCGATATGAAATGTTTCTTATTAATTTCGTTAAAAATACGATAAGACGGATCAGTCTCGTGGATTCTATAATTAAGAATGTTATCTACAGCTTCTTTTAATTTGTTTTCTAATGTGACGTTACTATCATCTCGTTGTTTGATGGTATCATTTTTATTACTAATATTCCTTAGAAGTAAAGCGAGTTCTGTGCTCTTTATAAATGCACTTTCAAAACGGCTCGTAAGGTTCTGTACGTCCATATTGTAGAATGTATATTGCTGAAAGAAATAGAACATTAAGCGCAATTTTTATACTAGATTAGCTCGATTAGATGTTGTCTTGGTGATTTCGTTATAAATATTTTTAACACTTTAATGTATAGCTGAATGTTTAGTTCAAGTGATGATTATTTTTCTGCAATCGTCACATCAAACAGTTAGAAGTTTCAAATATATAGTAATCACCGGTTTAGCGATCAGGTTTAAGAATGTGTTCGCGTTCCTCGGCATGGAGATCCAGTAGAGTACTGAGGGACACACTAGTGGCATCACGGCGGACACGACTCCTGCCTCCAGCGACGAGCCCACCGGCGACACCAGCGCCCCCACCACCGCCTCACACTCCCAGAACCGAGTCCCGCGCGCCCGCGCCACCTGTCCACCATACCACCGATACAATATATACACCACAAGACCGATAATAACGGAAGAAGATAAAGAAGATAAATCGGTCCGATCCCTAAAAGTTGATGTCGAGTGGATGGAGTTTTATTGCGCAAAGAAAATAACGTTTATAAAATACATCGATTGTGCATAAAAATATAAAAGCAGAGATCAATGGCCAAGTGTTAGATCACAATGCATAGGAAATTACGTTAAACAAATTTTATTAGAAAAATTGCTATGATTAATCTACCAAAAGTCGGAGTACTTTATATAGAATATTTGCTTATCTAATAATATATTATATATATTAATATATTATATTATGATATTTGTTATACTTCCTATTTAAAAAAAAACCATTAGTTCTCGAAATCAAATTAGATGTCGCTAGGGTACCATCTTGATTTTTCCACGACAACCATTCCGGTTTTCTTTCATGTATAAAAGTAAATTAATTTTCAAAACTCAATAAACAACTCATATTCTATTTGTACTTTTTCGTATTTGTATTGATATCTAAGTTTCAAACTTTGTAAATTTATATTTTTAAATATTTTAGTTAAAAAGAACGGAAATGACTATCTTTGGTCCATTCGTTTCCTGAAAAAATCACCTAGTGCAGTGCTTTTTTTAGTGTTTTCTTTTTATTCTTAAAATACATCCTTATAAGAATAACGTATTGTTATTTTTATGTAAAATAAAATACATATTATTTTCAGCCATTCATTCAATCAATGCCATTAATTCAATCACAAATAATGTTCAATTCTTGTAATTCGTTATCAGAGTACGTCTCCCTAATTAGTCCATAAGGATGATATTACATTTTGGCAAGTATTGTTGTAATTTGAGACAGTGTATGTAAATGACGATAATTACCTGAACCATGAACCCGTAGTCCCAGAATGAGTTGAGTAGCGCGCCCACGAACTCTGGGAACTTGTCGTACAATATATACAACCCTGTGCTTCGAGTGAAACCCAGCAATTGCAGGAAACTTGCATCAGGCTCTGTACAGATTGATTTACATTATTTGTATATTATCGATGTATGTGACGTACTTCATAGACCTACGAAAAAAGCTGTCTCTGCCACGAAAAAAGTTAATTGAATTTGACTTGAACCAGCGCTATTTTATTCCAACTGAGTTACTAGATACAAGTGTATTGAAATATCATTCTTCTTCTTCTCTGTAAGAGGGCGAGCACATTAGAAAATCTTTTTATAAGATGATATTCTGAATACAGAAATTACTAAATAAAATTAATTGCAAAGAAAATTTTCACTGAGTTTATTCAATAAACTTCGGTTAATATAATTGTGTTACTTGAAATTCAAGATAATTTATAACTTCGGATCCCGAAGTCATATGCATATTAACATATACGTTTGATGTCACCCATATCAAATAAATGGTATGAAAAAAAATTACAAAAAATTTACACTCACCATTGATCTCAGTGAAATATGTTAACAGATCTCCCACTACATCGTCTAGGATCACAGACAAACCCTGCAGGGAATACTTCCAGGCGGCCCGCCACGTGTCCCTACAGGAACCGCTTATGGTTGGACACTTCAGAACCCGCCCCCACACCTCATTAATAGACTCGTTACCGTTGGATGAAGATATTCCGTTAAGAACAGTATCGATGTTCGCAAATAGAAACCTGGGATATACACAATAAAACATTCAATAATTTACATAAAAGAAGATTCAATTGGTTGTCTAGATGTCCGGTTGAACGGGTGATCTAACCAGTTGGCTGCGACACATATATGGTTTATTGGAGCTAGATTAAACTTGAATCTCTAAATCTTCGTAACCAGAAAATACTCTTTTCAGGAAAAAAAACTGACATAATCATTTGCCAACGAAATACGGTATGTTCTCTAATTTATCAGAATTTCTGTGTATAACGGAACAAGGCCATATTTAAAAAAAAGTGTAACTTATGTTATATAAACTGAATAGCCATTACTGCGATATTTTCGAGAATGTTTTGAAAGAACTGATTTTGTAATAGACGGTGGTCTATTGGAATCATCTTGAATATACTAACAGATCAAATGTTACAACACAGTCACATCTATTTAATAATTATAAATACATTTACATCTAACCTCAATACAAAAGTATATTTATTAAACTTCCGGTTATTAATGATTTTGTATGGTATTTAATATTGTATATTTATGTTATGATTTCCTTGGACAACAAATAGGTGTCATATTTGGTAGTGGTATCAATTTGTGAATCAAGTCTTACTTCAATGTAGTATTCCTGTCTATCTTGTCCAATACACTAGCGGCGTATCTCCAGGCGTCCACTAAGGTGAGTCTAGAACTGGTAGTGTTTTCTGTAGTCAACATATCTTCGATTGTATTCCTGATCAGCGCAACATCTTCCACCACCGCGTCAAATGTATCAGAAAACTTGAGGAATAAATGTGGTTCGTAGATTGTCGTGTTCCAGCTGCTGGTGTTCTGAGAATATTGTATCTATGTTAAAGATCATAGGCCAAAAATTCTCATTCGGAGTTTGTACTTATTATAAACACAATTCAAATGCAACTACTGCTTAGCTGTTACTCATAATAGTTCAAAATAATACCAACTCACATAAAAATCGAGGTGATTATCCTTAATAAAGCTCGCCCACTGTTGCTGCAGCTCTCCGTCCAAGCAAATGAAGGTTTCAGCAGCCCTGAGTGCAGCTCTGGCGGGTGTACTGAAGGGCAGTAGTGACGATAATCCAGGACCACACCAGCTTTCTGGTGAGTTTATTGACGACACCACGAGGTCAGTCTGCCAGCCAATGTAAAAAAATATGCTGAATGACCAAGACTGCTGTCTCATCAGGAAAAAGATATAGATGAATCAGGTATTATCTTGCGGAAGTTCATGCAATAACTCTTAAATTATATAGTTACCAACTTTCACTTCTTTAATACTTGCCTGCATTACATCTGGCTACTCCGTAAATTTATGGAGGGTGAAACACACAAGTTAATATGAAGTTAGTTCTGACTCAATTTATAGCAATGTAATGCCTGATTATATGTATATTACTAATAGGTTGGTTTACATTTTAACAAGCGGTAAAGCTTGGTCTATACTGTAGTGCTAATCTGTTTAAAATACAACAAAAAATAACATGAAATATGCTTACATAGTTTTTCTTGGAGACTACTATGTCGACTGTGTCTACGATAAGTTGGGGCATGTTTTGTGCCAGTATAGTGAGTGCGTCCGCCGTGATGCGCGGCAACTCTGCACTGTTGTAAGACTCTCTACGATACGCCGCTAAAAAATGTATGTTTTTAAACTTTATTCGTCTTATTATAACACGAGGATTAAGTTGTTACTTGGTTTAAACCATTGGCCGCCTAAAGAAAAATGTCAAGTTGAGACGCGTTAAATGATTTCTGTTAGTGTAAGTTTTATAATAAGACGGTATGACATGCATTATAAAGGTTCTTTTAGCTTAAAGTACTCGGCTTCACTTTTTCTTATATAATAACGGACAATTATAGTAAGTTTCATAATATAAATATGAGTAAAAATAGACAACATTTTTCAGGGTTTAAGCCTTAATCAGTTGATAGCTAATTTATTTGTTTGCATACATTGTAGTAACCTAATGTGTTGCTGTGTATACCTGACAGTAGGGTTATAAATCCGTGTGCTGCGCGCAATGGCCCGCGCGCCGCTGTAATATAGAATTTCCCCTGGAGCCAGCCTTGGCTTGTGACGTTGAACGCTTCGCTGTCTATCAGATCCAATAGCCGAAAACCTAACTTCAGGCTGGATAAAAGTAGTAAAACTATTTTAGCATTCGCTGAATTATTAAATAAACTGTATTACAGGTTTTATAAGTATTTCGTGCTTGGCGTTAACGGGAGTAAAATTCGCATCAGCTATTATCCGAATTTGTTAATGCCATTGTAGCGTTCGCTTTTTAGTGTCAAACAAAGAGAAGCTATGCAAGACTTAAAACTACGTATGGTTCATTTACATTAGCTAGTAAGGACCACATGCAGGTGACCTCCGCAGATTCACTTGGTTGATTCAAAAGCATAAAATGATCGACCATGAGCAATAAAAATGAGCCACATAAATCATCTACTAATGTAAATTAAGAGCTATCAATTCTAAAGCGCCATATAATTCATAAGATCATCTGGTAACCCTTAGATGTGTGTGGTGCGCAGTGCGTACTATCAAAATTTTCACCATCAGTGTTCATGGTAACAGGTGATTTGTTAAGTGCACTTAACGGTAACACAGATTCCATAAATTGCCTTAACATTTTAAGGGTCAATACATGCATAATCTACCTCAAATGCAGGCCCCTGTTCATGTTCCTGGTGTTGAACCAGAACTGCTTCGCTTCCCTCAGCCTGTCTTCCACCACTGTCCTTGTTGCTTCGTTCATACCAAAGCTGGTGAACTCGAATAGATATGGATAGTCTCCGTCCAATTTCACGTACAGTTCTTTAAGATTGTTGATCAGTTTAGTCCAGTTCACTTCCTCCAAGGGGCCATGTGACGTGTTTCTGATTTTTGCTATCTAAACAAACGCAGAAATGTAAATAATGTAAAAAGTCAAAATATTCAATACGGACTAATACGCATATCGAGGCGTAGATGGCCACACTACTCATAGTAGTCAAACAAACTTTTCCGAACATTTTCTCTTTTGGAAATGAGCGGTTACCTTCCCTATTAGATCCAAATCTGCAGCGA